GGGAGGGCAGGAGGAGGAGGAGGAGGAGGAGGAGGGAGGAGGAGGAGGAGGAGGAGGAGGTGAAGATCACGGGCGGAAGGCTGAGCGGGCGCACGTCCGGGCGTGGCTGCCGCGGGGCGGCGGCGCGGCTGTGGGGAGGAGGAGCAACGGCTGCAGGGGAACAGGAGGCCCCGTTGCGCTGGCGGAGTCGCCAGGCCCGCGGCTGAAAAGGAGACGACGAGGAGACGATTGCCAACTTGGCGGGAGATCGCACCGATGGGCAGCATCGCGACGGGGAGAAGGACACGGATGGCAGGGCGCGGAGGAGGAAGAGGGATGAGGAGGAGGATGAGGAGGAGGAGGAGGAGGAGGAGGAGGAGGAGGGGGAGGGGGAGGAGGGAGGAGAGGGAGGGAGGGAGGGGGGAGGGGGAGTGAGGGGGGGAGGGGGGGGCGGAGGAAGGAGGGGGGGGGGGGGGGCGCAGGCAGGGGGGAGGGCGGGAAGGGGAGGCCGGGTGGAAGGAGATGAGGGAGGGAGGGTCCACCCCGCAGCAGCGCGGCAGCGCCGCCGCGGCAGTCCCCGGTGGCGGCAGGACGTGGACGCCGCCTCGGAGCAGGGCGCGGGCCCCGAGAGCACCCGCGCGGCAGAGGCGGGCGGCGGAGGACGGCCTCCCTGGGAAAGTCCTCCTCGTCTCGGGAGCCTCGAGACGGGGGTCATCGCAGACGGGGGTCACCCAGAGTGCCGGGTCTTGCAGGATCCTGCAGCTCCAGGGTCGCGTTGACCCTGGCTTGGGCGCAGGATCCAGATGGATCGTGCAGGATCCTGCAGGGCCAGGGTCGCATTGGCCCAGGCTCGGGTGCAGGATCCTGCAGGATCTTGCAAGGCTCGGCTGACCCGAGTCTGGATTGACCCGAGTCAGCTGATCCTCGTCATCCTCGGCATGTCCCTGCGCAGGAGGAACATTCAAACAGAGTCAAGGAATCGTCTGGGGACGATGTTTCTACGAAGTCTGGCTAAGACAGCATTTGTTGACCATTTGTTTAGTCTTTCGTCAGAACTCCGCCTGTAGGAGGACATGCCCGACCTGACCCTAGCTCTCTAGGCCTCTCGGCGATGCGGCTCGATGCGGGGCCCAATGTCCTCCGCGCCGACGTCGCGGATGTATCGCCGACGTCGCCAGCGCGCGGCCGATGCATCGGCGATTCATCGCCGATGTATCGGGGATGCGGCGAGATCCTTCGACCCCATCTACTCGGACTCCATCTAAGAAGCCTGTAGACTCAGATGAACAAAAAAATACCGATACTGCTCATTACCCTGGAAGAGGGAAAAACGGCATCAACATAAACTGTTGGCGCTCCGCGCGGATTTCTCGGATCCGCGCTGGGGCCCCCTGGCGGCGCCTCCGGCGCCGCCCCTGGCGCGCGCCGCGCGACAGGGAGGAGGGGTCCAGCGCATCTCCAAGAAGTCCGCGCGGAGCGGCAACAGTTTCTGCGTACGTCGGTTTGCTTCTTCTATTTGCTTGCCGCGTTTTCGCCTTTCGGGGCTTCTTGAGAGGCCCTCGCTCCCACCGCTGGATTCGCCTCGAAGTTTTGGTCATAGTCCGGGGGTAGCGGCTGGTGGCGTTGGCTTGCACAGCTGCAAAATGGTGGCGACCAATCGGCCTTGCGAGGGGTTGCCAGACACTTGGTTTGCGTGGCGCACATCGCCTCCTTCGTCGAGTAGAAAAGTGCGTCTCGTTGTCCTCGGCAGGGTCCATTTCGGTCTAATCGATCCGAGTCGATGTCGATTTCGGCCGATCCGATTCGATTCCGGTATTCTGGCGTTCCGACGCGCTTGCATTGCCGATGGCGCTTGCCGTCGCCAGTCCGATTTGATCTCGACTCCGTGCCGATGCATCCCGATCCTACTCACGTTCCGATTCAGCCCCCAGCTTCTGCATTCTCCAGTTTCCTTGGGAAGGAGTGGATACGATGGCCGGGACCATGACATGTTACAGATCTCATGACCTTCTCTTTTTTCGGGGGCTGCGAGAAGGGTTCGTTGGACAAGGTTGGTTTCGCTGGACTCGAGGTCCCCCCAGCCCGACAGCCGTTTATTGAACCAGACCTTCTCGCCGTCCTCGATTTGTTGTACGTCCCCAAGCGTGCATCCGTCCGCGCACACGCCTCGGGCCATGATGCGCGAACATCCCTCCTTCCTGGCTCTTCTCTTTCAGCCTCGCGCCTTTTGCTGTGCCCCCCGTTCCCTCGCGACGTCGCAGGCAGCAGCTTGGCTGTTACATTCAGCTGGCTGGTCCTCTCCCTTCTCCTCCTCCTCCTCCTCCTCCAACTACTTCTCCTACTCCTCCTCCTCCTCCTCGTCCTCCTCCTCCTCGCCCTTCCTATTCCTCCTCCTCCTCCGCCCCCTCCTCCGCCAAACTCTCCTGCGCCTGGCAGCGATGCTTGACGACATTGTGCGCGCGACGGGGCTACACGGGCTCGAACTACACCCAAGAAAAACCCAAAGACTGAGCAACCAGACGAGAAGGACAGGAATGGCGAGCTCACGCACAGCACGTTTCCAAGACATGGCTATAGAAACCGTTCCATACGAGGGCAGTATCAAATACCTCGGCCAATTGATCAGCTTCCACAAACCGATGGAAACGGGAATCCACCATCACACTCGAGCTGCATGGGCATCATTCACGTCTCGAAAGCAGGAGTTGACCAGCAAGCACTACCCACTTGCTCACCGACTCCGATTTTTCAACAGCACTGCAGCACCACCAGCGTTATACGGAGCAGAGACGTGGACCCTCACGGAGCCTCTACGGCAGCATCTACGACGGACACAAAGACGCATGCTTCGCAAAATCATCATAACGCCACGGAGACGCACAACGAAAGAAGCCGGCCTTCACAGCGGCCAGAGACCGAATCTCGACGACGCGAACAACGAAGCACAAGACCACGAAGACCGCACCAACAGCACTAGCGACGACGCAGACAGCAACCCATTACAGTGTGATGCACCTGACACGCCTGACAAGCACAGCGAAGACGGCGAAGACAGCACCACCCCAGATGAAATGGAACCATGGGTCGACTACGTCCAGCGAGCGACACGACGCGCAGAGTACCATGAAGCTCCACCACATTGACTTTTGGGAGACGTTGCACAAACGGAAGGTATGGCGCATGGCTTCATGAGTCGCAAACCACGACCAGACGAGGTGGACATGGCGAGTGCTGCGCTGGCACCCAGTCTTCATCCCGCGCCAGCGGGGACACAGGCAGCACGCTGGCCAAAACAAGCGCTGAGACGACGAAATCACCACTTACTTACGTCAGCGCAGACCAGACCTCCGCCGACCGCCCACGCAAGCCCATTCGAAAGGACAACCGAACGACATCACATGGACGCAAACAGCCCAAGACACCGAAGCATGGACAGCGCTCGAGCACCACTTCACCGACCTCACGTCGACCAGCACCTGGGACTCAGACCAATGACGTAAAACCACAGCGAACGTCGAGACGTCTCGCCCAACCCGCGCCGACACCGACACCAAAGACTTTCTTTTCCTCCTCCCCCTTTTCTCATACTTTTTATATGTCTCGCATTGCATGAACCCAGACACCTCAGATCCTAGAGGCCATGGCCTCACCCACCTGGTCTGCTCTAGGCCTGGACGCTGTCCGCAACGGTGGTCGCATCGCGTCGCATCGCACCCCCTCCCCCTCCTCCACCTCCTCCTCCTCCTCTTCCTCCTCCTCCTCGGGTCGCCTACGGCCCCCGGGGGGAACGCGCAGTGGCCCCAATGCGGAAAATGATACCAGAGAAAAACCCCTTATCAAAGTATGTTTAGGGCTATGGGGCCATTTGGCCATAGGTCCATTGATCTATGGGGCTATACGGCTATGGAACTATAAGGCTATATGGCCATAGGGCAATTGGTCTACAGGACTATAGGGCTATAGGGTTGTAGGGCTATAGTACTATGGGGCTCTGGGGCTATAGGGCTATAGGGCCATGAGTCGATCCGGCTATGGGGCTTTAGGGCTATGGGACCAGATTGCTATAGGGCTCTACAGCTATGGGGCAATAGGGCTATAAGGCTAGCTATAGGACTATAGGGCTATAGGGCTGTAGGGTTTCTCGGTCTATAGGTCTATAGGGCTACAGGGCTATAGGGCTATAAAGCACCCGGGCGCCTAGGCACCCCGGCACCGGGCAACCAGGCATGTTGGCGGTCCGCGGAAATCGCTGACGCACCTCACCTAACCATACGAATCCGTTCGGAGTCCTACAGAGGCAAACTTTGGTTGGGGAGCAGTCGAGGAAACATAAGCGTGCTGAGTTCCGCGCGCACGGCTTAGGTCTGCACTGGACCCCCCCTGGCGGCGCAGGTTTCTGTTCGGCCCCCCCCACCCTGGCGCGCTCCGCGCGCCAGGAGGGGCGGGAAGGCGTCAACCATCAAAATCCGCGCGGAGTTCCGGAAGGTTGTTGTGCTCAGGCAGGTGTTGTTGTTAGTCTTCTCAGTATAGCTTCGCAGGCAGCAGGCTGTTGTGCACTCCGACAGGCTGGTTATCAATCCTCCCGCTTCCCTGCTCAATTCTGTTTCCCTTCCTCCAATGCCCCTCTTTTCCGCCCCTGTCTTCCCCCCTCCCTCCCATCATCCTTCCTGTGGGGGTTGAGAGTAAGATTCGTTCTGACGTCGGCCTTCCAGCAACGCCGCATGTCCTATACATTTTCAAGACATCGGCAATCAAGACGTCTGCTCAGTCCAAATGTTCCTGATCCTGTCTGATTCCTACCCCTGCTGTCCTCACCTTTTTCATCTGCCCACCTCCGTCCCTCATCACCCCTCATGCCAAAGGTTCTTCTGTTTTTGCCCAATTGTCCCCGTCGAAGGCCAGACGCTAAATCAGACGTCGGTTGTCAAATCTGCCTTTGTAAAATGATCAATCATGGTATACGCTACCGACTGAATGTGTGCAGTATGGTCAGCTACCTGTAGATAACGACCGGCTTTGGTGGCCATGTTTCTTTTAGGTACCCTTTCTCCCCATGCTTGTCCCGAGAGTGTAGGGGCGGTGGTCCTGGGCCCACGGCCAGGTCTCGTACGCGCGCGTGCCATGGCAAGGGTTTGTCCAACATCACTGCAGCTGCACCACTTGGCGGCACGTGTCCTTTCCCCCCGTTTCCTGCGACTGTCGTCTTCGTGTGCGGGCCTTGCTTTCATGAGCTGCCATTCATTCATGGTGCCATCCCCCATGCATCATGCGTGGCTGCGCGAGAACGGAGACGATCGACCACACACCATTCATTTGGTGTCGTTGCTTCGCGCTCCTTGCCGCGAGGAGTTGCGGACGATGCTGGTTCGGTCGAGATTATTTCTGATGTGCTACAAGCAGAGCAGGATGCGCTGACTTCATCTTATGTATTGTTTGCGTGAAGATCGGGATCTGCAATTGAGACATTCATTCCCATGTAGATGGATTGCTTCAGGGACTGCGATGCGTCGCGGCATTGGCCGTGCGTGTGTTGACGCGCTGCAGATCCAGTTAGACCGAGGCATAAGATCGAGGTCGTTTCGGAGATGGTACCCTAATGTGCTTCGTGTATGTTGGATGTTCCGGTGTTGCTACTCGCGCGAGCGGATTGCCTCTGCCGTGCCGCGAGGGAGCTAAAAGCTTGTTGGATGTTTTTGTGCATCCTGGGGGAGGGCACACTCGAACATGTTTCAGTTGGGGCCGGCGGAGTTTCTCATGTTCTTGAAGGATGGTCTTCCGGCCTGTGTCCGGCTGTACTCCCAGGACGCGTGAAGGTCGCAGTGTGATTTGCGTTCTGGTCCCATCATGTGGGCGCTGAGCATTGCAGCTTTAGCACACAATGGTGCGGCCGTACGGCCACATCTTCAAAGCCTAGATCCTGTCCTTGCCGAGCCATGCCCTGCTGGCCTTCGACAAGCGCGGCGTGCAGGGCGCCCCGCAGGTAAACTTGAGGGGCGCCGGCCTGGCCACTCTGCGGACCCCCGTCGAGGCGATCCAGGGTGATGCCCTGGGTTGCCCCAGGATACCGCAGAGGTCGGGTATAGCCAGGACCCGAGGTAAGGGGACCCGGTTAGTGGTAGGGCCCCGGAGCCCCTAAAGTGGCCAGGGTCACTAAACCAGGTCTGCCGTAGTTGGCGTTTTTTCGGGAACGGCAGTTTTGGTTAGTGGAACGGGGGCGGGGGGTGTCCCCCAGTGATTACGCATTATTAAACCAAGTCCCATTAAACCCAGTTCTGCCAACGCCCGAAAAGGGAGGGTGTTCCCCAGGGGGAGTGTGAGTTCGATCGGGTTTTGCACCGAACCGCCCCAAACAGATGCCCCCCAGCCGCCAGCAACTCCCGATAGTTGGCGGTCAGGTGGGAATACGTAGCACCCCGCAATTGCGGGTAAGAGTGAGGGGGCGGGCGCGGACGACGCGGGCGTCGTCAAGCCGGCGGACCTCGTGGCCCCCACCTTCCCTGTCGATGGCGCTCTCCTCCTCCTCCTCCTCCTCCGCCTCCTCCTCCTCCTCCTCTTCCTCGTCCTCGTCCTCGTCCTCATCGTCATCGTCGTCCTCCTCCTCCACCTCGTCCTTCTCCTCCTCCTCTTCTTCCTCGTCCTCCCTCTCCCCCCCTCGTCCTTCCATCATCGTCCTCCCATTGTCGTCATGTTCCTCCTCATCGTTCTCCTCTTCCCCCCCTCCCGATCCTCCCCCCTCCTCCTTTTCGTCGTCGTCGTCGTAGACGTCGTCGTCGTCGTCCTCCTCCTCCTCCTCGTCCTCCTCCTCCTCCTCCTCCTCCTCCTCCTCCTCCTCCTCCTCCTCCTCCTCCTGCAAAAGCAGCCCGCCGCAGGCGCCGAAAAATTTGGTTTGTACACTGAACGTGGTTTGGGTCGCGGCTGGGCCGCGGATTCTCCACCGGGAACGAATGCAAAAGATGACCGCCGCAGGCGCCGAAAAATTTGGTTTGTACCCTGAACGTGGTCGCGGGTGGGCCGCGGTCTCTCCACCTAGAACGAATGCAAAAGATGCCCGCCGCAGGCGCCGAAAAATGTGGTTTGTACTGAATGGTCTAGTGTGGTTTGGGTCGCGGGTTGGTCGCGAGTTGGTCGCGGGGTGGGTCGCGGGCTCTTTACCTGGAAGGAATGCAAAAAAAGCCCGCCGCAGGCGCCGAAAATGTTGGTTTGTACCTTGAACGTGGTTTGGGTCGAAGGTGGGTCGCGGGTGGGTCGCGGGGTGGGTCGCGGGTGGGTCGCGGGTGGGTCGCGGGTGGGTCGGGTGGGTCGCGGGTGGGTCGCGGGGTGGGCCGCGGGCGGGTCGCGGGGTGGGTCGCGGGGTGGGTCGCGGGTGGGTCGCGGGGTGGGTCGCGGGGTGGGTCGGGGTGGGTCGCGGGTGGGTCGCGGGGTGGGTCGCGGGGTGGGTCGCGGGGTGGGTCGCGGGGTGGGTCGCGGGTGGGTCGCGGGTGGGTCGCGGGTGGGTCGCGGGTGGGTCGTGGGGTGGGTCGCGGGTGGGTCGCGGGGCGGGTTGCGGGTGGGACGACGACAACAAACAACAACAAACAACAACAACAACAACAACAACAACAACAACAACAACAACAACAATTACAACAACAACAACAACAACAACAACAACAACAACAACAACAACAACAAACAACAACAACACGAATCCGCACCGCGGAATCCCACTTCAGCCACGCACCCAGGGACAGTGAATGACCGTTCGGCCCCCCCACTCTGATGCGGGGGGCATGGGTGCATCTGTTGGGGGTCCCAAAACCGTGTGGCAGACCCGGCGGCGACCTCGAAATCCGCAAAGACCTTACCGCACGATCCGTCACCACACAGTTTTGGAATTTTGGAGGCTCCAGTCGCCCGAGACATCCTCGGAGAATGACCCAAGTCCCAAAACGGTGCGGTGACCCCGAATCCCCACCGACTCACCACACGGTGTGGTCACCACCCCGTTTGGAGGCCCCCGACTTTGTTAGCGGCAATTCGGTGCACCAGCGGATCGAACCCCTCATGCCCCCCCTCAGGGTCACCCCCCCCTTTCGCGGATCCCAATTGTCATGAGGCGGATTTGTACGGTTAAGTCGGGCCTGTCCCTCTGCAGGAGGAGTTTCCCAACATAGTCAAACAATAGGTTGGGGACGAGTTTTTGATAATTTTCCTCGTCTGTGTATGATTTGTTTGACTATGTGTAATTACAGGAGAGGAAAACCACACAAAAACAATAAACCCTCGATTCCTCAGAAAATATTGGAAAATATGGGAAGTGGGGGGGAAGACAGAAACCCAGAAAATATGGGAAAATATCGGGAACATTTTTATTTGTGTGTATATTTGTGTGTCCTGGGGCCCCTTCATAATTCTTCGTCCACAATCCGCCTGTGGGAGAGGCACGTCCGACCTGACGACAAACCTAGTCCGGGTTGGCGGGCCCGCCTGCCCCCGCCCTTCCCCCCCAGATAGCCTGACTCGGTCGGCCGCACAGGTCCGAAAAGGGGGTGCGCAGGCGTGGTGCGCGCGCGGCAACACGCGGGGCTGCCCACAGCGAAGAGTTTCGGTGAGCAGGGGAGCGAACAATGACACAGCGCGCGGCTCGCATAAGGAGCTCTTCGTTTTTTCAAAAGTGCCTCGTTCGTTCCTCAGGTCCGCATGCGTTATGTATCGTTCCTTTTGCGTGATTTACAACTAGTGTCCCTTATGCGCTATTATTTGGGACAAAGGGGCTTCGTTCCTTATTCATCGCTCCTTCGGCCAGGCCGATGACCGTATACGCAGTACCTCGCAGGTCCGCGCGGACGTCTCGGATCGGCGGTGAGCCGCCCTGGCGGCACTGTGGCCCCCGCGGCTGGAGGCAGCTTGCTCCAGATTCCGTCATAAAAGGGAGGGGGGTCTCATTTCGGGGGGGGTCTCTTCCAGGCTATCTTGGAGGGCCCTGGGGGGGGGTCTGGGACGGTGTTTGGGAGGGCTCTCCCACGGGGGAGGTCTGAAATGGCTTGTCTTGGAGGGTCCAGACCCCCTCCCTTTCATTACGAAATCTGGAGTACCCTCAGTTGCCTCCAATTGAGGGTCGGCTGACGGAGGCTGAGGGTCAGTTGGAGGCAACTGGCCCTCGGCTGGAAGCAACTGATGGGTCAGGTGGAGGCAATTGACCAGGTCAGTTGCCTCCCACCGCAGCTGCTGCAAACTGGCCGTCAGTTGGAGGCAGCTGGCTGTCGGTTGCCTCCAGCTGACCCTCGGCTGGAGCCAACTGCGGGTCAGTTGGAGGCAATTGACGGTAAGTTGGAGGCAACCAATTGAGGGTCAGTTAGGAGGCAATCGAGGGTCAGTTGGAGGCAATTGAGGGTCAGTTAGAGGCAACTGAGGGTCAGTTGGAGGCAACTGAGGGTCAGTTGGAGGCAATTGAGAGTGCCGACCCTGAATGGCGACGACGACGACGAAGACGAAAACGACGACGACCACGAAGACGACGACGACGACGACGAGCGCTCTCGGGTGCCTCTTGGGGGTAGTTTGGGGGCCTTTTGGGAGGCTTTCGGGGGCGACTTGGGAGCCTCGTGGGGGCCTCTTGGGGCTTCCTGGGGTCTCTTAGGGGGCCTCTTGGGGCCTCTTCGGGGGCTTCTTAGGGGCCTCTGGGGGCCTGGGAGCTTCTCAGGCCGAGGGCTCGAACTGACTGTTCGGGTCCCTCGTCTGGGCTCCCTCTTGGAGCCGTCTTGAGGGCCTCTTCGGCTGTCTTGGAGGCCTTTTAGAGGCCTCTTGGGCCATCTTGGGGTGGTCTTGAGGGCCTCTTGGCTCGTCTTGGAGCGTCGGGAAGGTGACAAGGCGAGAATGCCGAAATCTTTCATCAACCTATTGGAATTCGATTATGTTTGCCCCTTGGTGCCCTCTTGGAAGTCCTCTTGGAGTCCTAGTGGGGCGTTTTGAAAACCTTCTGAGCCGTCTGGAGGCTACGTTGGCGACTTGGACGGATACTTCGGCGATTCGGGGCCCTCGAGCACCGTCTTGGGGGCATCTTGGGGCACTTTTGTGCTCTTGGGGCTTTCTGGGCCCCCGAACCGCCCATAGGGAAGTCGTATCTGGGTGGCGACCCCCATCCGGGATAAGCCCGGGACCTTCCCCCGGGACCTCCCTCCCCCCCTGGCGGGGAAGGAATCAAAGGGAAGGGGTTTCCCTTCGACTCAACTACAACGGGCCTAGGGAAAGGAGAGGGGAGCGGCGAAGGCGGCGACGACGACGACGACAACGACCACGAGGACGACGACGACAACGACAACGACCACGAGGACGACGACGACAACGACGACGACGACGACGACGACGACGTCGACGTCGACGTCGACGACGACGTCGACGACGACGGCGAGTTAAACGGACCAGCCTCTTCCACACGCCGACAGGGTCAGCGGATTTTCAATGTTTCTCCTCGTACCCGCACTTGGTTCGGGCACAGATTCGGACCATGATGCGCGAACCCTGCTCTTCTTTGCCCCCCTCCATCTTCGACGCACCTGATGGAGGAGCAATGTTGGAGTGCACTTGCGTGGGGTCATCGTGGGGGCTCTCGTAGAGCCTTGCTGCTCCCCCCTGGAGTCCTCATGCCCGTTCTTGGAACCCCTATGCGCTATTGCCACGTTTGGTTGAGTTGGAAGCCTCACCACAAGCCTACCTGGGTCTTTCAGAGGGTTGCGTTGGCCCATTCGCCGCTAGCCTGTTGTCCTGTGGCAATCCAATGTGGCCATTGTTTGGGTTTCTTGGGGCCATCTTGGGCCTCGATATTTGTGCCATGCAATGAACTCCTGAGGCTCATCTGAAGGAACCGCTTCATTCTACTCTTCGGGGTTTGAGCTTCTCGGGGGCTTCCCCTGGCTCCAGGCCATCACGGAGTCATCCATCTTGGGGCCAGTTAAGGCCATCGTGGACCGTGAAAGTCATCTTCGGACATCCTAGGCATCTTCACATGAGACCACCTATATCGGGAAATGGAGCCGTCGTGAGCACTTGTTAGAGTTCTCTTGAGTGTGGAGGCGTCATTTGGAAGTCAGGCCGCCTGGGAGTTGTCTTGACGAGCTCCTCTCACGAAGAGGAATTTGGTGGCTGGAGGCAGTCAACATGTTCCACGTCTTCTCAACTTGACAGGTTGGAACGGGCCGTGGCGACGAGAGCCTCCAGGAACCTTCAGAAAACATCCAAACGACGACGTCGACGCAGTCGAAATCGTCCACGCCGTGGGCGACGCCGACGCCGCCGCTGACGACTCCACCGACATCTGCGTCGGTAGATCCCCCATCCGGGGCCCCTGCTGGCAAGTATGCCTAGCTGCACCGAGCTGTGACCCCCCCTGGGGCCCGCAGCGGACCCCGAGAGGCGCGATGCAGCGACACAGAGGTCCGATGCTTCCATCGGAGGCGAGCGAGGAAGGGAAGTGAGAAGGAGAAGGCATTCCCAGAAGGTTCGGAGATCCCCTGGTCTCCTGGAGAGTTTCCTGAGTCTCCCCCGAAGACAAGAACAAGCTTCTCAGGAGGCGTGAGGGCTTCTGAGAAGTCTCGCCGCCTTCTGAAAGGGTCTTCTCCTCATTTCCCCCCCTCGCTCGCCGCCGATTCCATCTCGATCCTCGACCACGCCGCCGCCGCCTCCGCCGGCGCCGTCGGCGGCAGCGTCCCTCAGCTCTGGCGCCTCGACGTTCCTGTTGTGCGTGGGTCCCCGAGCCGCTCGTCCTCTGCCCCAGGGGAATCTTACCAGCCTCGAACGTATCCCTATCCGTAAGATTGACACGCCAAAAGGCGATGACAATCTTAGGGATTCGCCCTCAAAAAATAAGGGAATCCCTAAGATTGGCATCGTGATAAGGAGATGCTCATCATGGGGATAGGGATATGTTCCAGGCTGGTAAGAATCGTTTCGTCCCGACATCTTCTTTCGAAGAGCAAAAACGCCATGAACATGAACTTGTGGCGCTCCGCGCGGATTTCTTGGATCCGCGCTGGGGCCCTCCTGGCGTCGCCTTCGGCGCCAGAAATTCGCGCGTCAAAAGTCCATGTTCATGCCGTTTTCACTCTTCCTCCAGTGTCGGCCTCGCGAGGCCTGGCACTGGCTTCCGGAGGCCAGAGCAGTGGCGACAAGCCGGCCGCCTCGACTCAGGAGGCCGCCGCCGCAGAGGAGGAGGAGGAGGAGGAGGAGGAGGAGGAGGAGGAGGGGGGAGGAGGAGGAGGAGGAGGAGAGGAGGAGGAGGAGGAGGAGGAGGAGGAGCATGAGTGTGGACGCGTGGGTGTCGGCGTGGGCGTGGGTGCGCCGAGGCCCCTCATGGTCGGGCAGCCGCCGCCGCAGGGCCGCCGCCGACGGCTCCGCCCCTCACCGCGGGCCGCGCGGGCCGCCGCCGAGGACCCGGACGACTACGTGGCCCTGCTCGCGGGCCGCATGGCCGCCGCGGAGGCCCATTGGGCGGAGGCCCGCCTCGCAGAGGCGCGCGCCGGGGACGGCCGCGACGGCGTCGACGA